GGTAGGGGAAGCCTGGGTTTGAGCTTGCTGCTTGATCAGACTTGATCATGAATGTCGCTAAATATTCACTGTCTTTGCTCTCAGGTTTTTTACCAAACACATTCAGCTTAAAAACGCCAGCTTCAGGCGCATGAGCCAGAATTGTGCCAACATACTCCGCTGTGTTACTGAAGCACAAACTGTTGTCAAGATGTTGTTTGTCCTTCATCAAATAACCAACAACTGATACATTGTCAGGGGTCTTCAGCTTAATGGAGGCTCGTCCATCAGGGGCATAAATATTGTGTTGGGGTTCTTTGAGCTCCAGGCCCCACGAGACAAATCTGTCCGACAATCGCGGAAAGCCTGGTACAGGCTCTACACCAGCGAGTGCATTTATGTAGTAGGTACACACAAACGTATCTGATTTTCTTTCGCCATAATACTTGGCAAACACTTTCAAAGTGTACTCCCCTGCAAGTGGGCAATGCACCATCACTCGAAAGCCACTCTCTGTCCTCTCTGAGTAGCAAAATGAAAATTCACCGAAGTGTTTTTTGAGTCTCTTTTCGTCTCCCACAAGATCAAGCCGGCCCACGATGTGCGAAATTTGAATGTTAAAGTTCTGTAATGAAATGTAGGCCTTTCCGTCGTCGGATACAATATTCTCAGATGGATGATCAAGACTGAATCCTGCTTCATAAAACTCACTTCCCAATTGTGGGAATCCGCCTCGATTTTGCTTAACTCCTCGTTTGGCCTGGATGATATATTCTATTCCACTATGCCATTTTGTATGGATCAGCTCGTCTCTTACGTACAATTTCAGCTTGTATTTTCCAGGGGCAGGGAACTGTGCTTTTAGCTTCACTTGGTTCACCCCACAGGGTAGAATCTGTGTCCATCTTCTTCCTTCGTAGTCTCTTCCTGAGAAGTCCTTCAGATCACCTCGTAGTATCTTCAACGATGGAGAGTAGAACATCATTTCGACGTGATCTGCATCATCAATATCATACATGCTTTCCTTGTGACTGAGAATTTCCACTCCCATTTTGTGAATTCTTCCAGAAGGCGCAACCAACTTCTCAAACTCTTTCTTGCTGATAGGTTTCTCGAGGAGCTGCCACTGTTCGTCGGATGGGTAGTGGCTGTAAATTGCATATTCGGGGTCCATCAGGAACATGGACACGTCTGGGCTGCGATGAAACATCAAATCAGCTCCTAGGTAACCAGCACCCCATGTGGGCTCACAAACGAACCACTCACCGTTGACTAGGACGCCATTCCACGCATGATTTGTCTCTTTAATCCGCTGGCCGGGCTCGAAGCCATAACCCTTGGCGTAGCCATTTATGGTATGCACCTGAAGATCCGCAGCTTTACCAAGTGCGTCGAAAAGATTCGCATAACCAGCGCACACTGCTGTTCTATGGCGTAGCACGCTTTCGGCATCGCCACTCTTTCTCTCCGTCCTTCCAAAGAAGCCATCCGCATCGTAGGCGACATTGAAACTCAGCCAGCGGAAAATCGCGTAAGCTTTGTTCCTGTCTCCCTCCCACCGACTTGTCAGGTAGGCGCTCAGTTTTTCGACGCTCTCAGTTTGTTCCGCTGGTGTCGCTAACACGTGTGCGTCGATCTGCTTCTCGATTCCCGAGCGCTGTTTAAATTTTTCTAGTCGAATCCTTGCAAGAAACCGTCGAATGTTCGTTTGAATAAAAGCGATCGTTTCCAAAGAAATATTCGTTGCTGTAGTGATATTTTCAGCATTTTTGTGACGAAATACCACCGACGGTCGAGCAAACATGCCATGCTTCGGTGCACAAGTGAAATAACGAACTCCATCGAAGAATCCATCGTTCCCCTGTGGATGTGGATGGTCTAACTCGATTCCTATCCACTCACCGCCACTTGGGTCGCTTAGATAACCGATAAACTTGACAGCACCCGTGTATCCAGAAACATGCACTCTGTGGCCGATGGAAAATTGATTTTCACCTCTCTCAATTAGGCTGGTGTCAGGAGCTTTATCCTTGGGTGCAGTCGGTTTTGATTCAAAGTTGTCGTTCGTATTCTGACTGCGATTTGTTGTCTCGACGGCTGTTTGGACCGATTTTGATGTTCCACATCCCATTGTCGACTGAAAGAAACAAATGGCTACTGGCCAGTGTCGTCGCTTGTTTAGTGTAGCGTGAGAGAACTACTGCGCCACAACAATCTCTTCTTGTGTCTGAACAAAGAAACGTTGCTAATGGCAACATATGATAAGTCGATTGATCAGTCATGGATGATCAATGAAAGAGCACCAGTGAGGTTAAATGATGTAAATGGCGGCCATGAAGCACAAAGAGCACTAAAAAAGCTTCCTTTCCTATGTTTAACCTTGTAATGACATAACTACGATGGCCATCTGCAATAATAACAACATCTGCTTCAAACGCGAGAAAGCCGAAATGGACAGATTCGAGACAGATTATCTTAGCGGAAGTCGCCATTTTGTATTTTTTTCGGAAAATCAGGATCCGGATGTTTAAGAATTTGGGATCACGGATCAAGTATTACTGGGAAATAAATGAAAATGAATAACTGAAAAATAGAATCAGAGTCATAAATTATAAACGCATACAATTTTTCATTACTAATTCTACGCGAAACATTTGATAATTCTCCTGTTTATATATTTTTTGTGGAGTAATTTAGTTTCCTTAGATCCCTTTGAAGACCAGCAAGAGTTTTCTTCGTGTGTTCGCCAATAAATAAGAATTATGCCAAACCGACAAAAACGGGAGTATAAATGTTTTAGGCAACTTAAAATAGAGAAACGATTCAACTCAAGCCCTCGCCCAAGAGACTAGTCATTTTTCCTTGCTTGGGTGGGGAGGGGGGATTTTGGGGGAATCACATGTTTTTCAGGGGGAACGGAAGGGGGATCAGTCGTCGTTAGCAGATTATTAAGGGGGGACTATAAAAACACTGACTGTCAGGGGAAGGGGCCATCAGAACATCAGAATCAGTACAGAGCCAAAGGGGGTATTGTTGTGTACTAGGGTTCATTATATACTACCATCGAGTAAGGCGTGCACAGACCAAGTGCTCTTCACAACTGGTTTATTAGAATGCCATAAAGTTAATTACACACAATAATATATGAGCATAATCACGTGACTGCGGTCAAAGATGTGATGACCAATAGAATAAAGATTATATAATAGCTAAGGTATTTATCCAAATAGGAACAAACACTACAGGTATCAGGTAAATTTAAATGTGACACAACCAGCCTCTTCCGACCCCTCGCAAGGCGACAAATGATGACCAGTCCCTGAACTCGCGACTAGAAAACGCAATGTGCTTCATTTTCTCGCCAACGAAATGGTTTTGGTCTTTAAAGTCATATTTGGTTAAATTAACCTAAGTATAATACTTTGTATATACAAAGAAACACTTGTTTTGTGCTTCCAATAGATAAATTTGTCCCCAAAACATTTAGTTTAAACTTCCCAGCTTTAGGCAGCTCATATGCTATGACGGTCATCTTGTCAGCGGTTTCCATTAGGCAAGAGTTGCCAATCTGCTTATTATGTGTATTAAACAGCCATGGCTCTAAAGCGATACCATGAAGATTAGAAAATGTGACTTTCACTCGGCTGACACATGAAACGATGTTCTCTAACTGATCTATCAGTTGCTAAATATTCACTTTCTTTGCTCTCACGTTTTTTACCAAACACATTTAGCTAATAAACGCCAGCTTCAGGCGCATAAGCCAGAATTGTGCTGACATACTCCGCTGTGTTACTGAAGAACAAACTGTTGTCGAGATGCTGTTTATCTTTCATCATCCATCCGGGGCATAAATATTCTGCTGGAGTTCTTTGAGCTCCAGGCCCCACGAGACAAAGTTGTCCGACAATCGTGGGAAGCCTGGCACAGACCAGCGACTGCATTTATGAAGTAGGTACACACAAACGTATCTGATTTTCCCTCATCATAATACTTGGCAAACACTTTCAAAGTGTACACCCCTACAAGTGGACAATGCACCATTACTCCTAAACCACTCTCTGTCTTTTCTTAGTAACAAAATAAAAAATCCACCGAAGTCTTTTTTGAGTCTTTTTTCCTCTCCCACATGGTCAATTTGGCCCACCATGTGCGAAACTTGAATGTTAAAGTTCTGTGATGAGATGTGGGCCTTTCCGTAGTCAAATACAGTGTTTTCGAATGGATGATCAAGGCTGATTCCTGCTTCGTAAAATTCACTTCCGAACTGTGGGAATCCGCCTCGATTTTTCTTAACTCCTCTTTTGGCCTGGATGATATATTCTATTCCACTATGCCATTTAGAATGGGTCAGCTCGTTCCTTAATTACAAATAATCAGCTTGTATTTTTCTCCGAGAGAATCAAAATTGTTCGTCTACAGTAAGTTACCTCAAAAATATACTTCCGCGTTATTTAACTAGAAAAAGCAAACTGAAACTTTGTCGTACCTCTAATAGACCTTCATCAAAGATATATTGCGATCTTGAATAAGTGAAAATACATTGAACAAGAGAAAAGGATAACATTACAAAGTGGGCTCCTTGATTGGTTGTAAGTTTTCCACAAGTATGTAAATTCGCTTTTCCATTGTGTTTTGTTTGCACTTTTTGTTATGCAAATTAACTGGTGCAGGTCCCTGGGATCGTGTTGAGCCAATCAGAGGTGAGCACTTTCCACGTAATAGATAAAATTAAATCCGAAAGCATGTCTTTGACAGGTATTGGGCACCTATCTTTTTTTCTTTTTACCTCCCAATTTCAAACATAGCATGGTTCCGTGCTGTGGGTTGCTTCAAAACTGAGGCAATTTTTTAATACCAGGTTTAGGACTTCAAGTGGAGGACTACGGAAAAGAAAGCTGTCTACGATCAATAGGGACACCCTTCACTTCGTATATACAACATCGCCTAACTTCTGTTCTCCAGAAGAAGTATCTTAGTTCGCAGTTTCTGCTTCCGATATCAACAAAGCGAAAGAATATACCTTTAAAGGCCAGGCCATATTTTTAACGTTGGAAGGCAAACATTATTAGCTTAAAATTTATCGACACATCTAATTTTTTCCACACTATCTTTAACAAGGACCACCGAAACCCGTCTTTGAGATGGAGACCACATATACACAATGTTCAGTGACTTGTATAAGTAAAACATGTGTCTTGGTTACCCAATTTTTATCAAGGAGAACGCGGAGAGCGTTGGTCGAAATGGAATTTCTCGAGTAGCTTTTCGAGGTTGGAACGACCTGGTTACCCAATTTTTATCAGGAGTACGCGAAGAGCGTTGGTCGAAATGGAATTTCGGGAGTTGCTTTTCGAGGTTGAAAAACGTGAAGAAAGGACAACGTTCAACGACCGAAAATAGATCCACATGTTATGAAAGGCTGGAGAAAGGAAGTTGAGACACATTGGTGAGGGAAGAATGCACTCTCCCATACTGACAGAAACTAAGATGTTTACAACAAACACTATAAAAGGACATTGACTAAAAATTAAAATTTTTGCAACACTTCAATTCAGTGCAAGAGGCGTCTTCATTTTCTCTCCGCTATGTGGCGTGAAAAAGATTTTTCAACATGCTATGGGTTGTTCGAATTTTGTATCCAGTCCCACTCACTGGGAGTCGAGTGGGACTCAGTACAAAATGAGCCGTTCAAGCAAAGGACTTATATCGAACAGGAGCGAAACACAAAGATTTTATTCCAAGGTTAGTTAATCAAGTATTTGCTACCAAATCAAAAGTTTTATTAGAATTTTTTAAATTCAGATTAGGTTTCTAAATTTTGACACCTTTGGGAGTTAAAACCATCCTAATTACGAACACATGCTTTCGATTTTCTCGATTCTTTGAAAACTTGTTTTTCACGCCTTGGGAGATAGTTAATTGACGAAATCAAATCGTGGTAAGCCAACAGAGGTCACATCGATTTTAAGTTAGTTTGAGATCAATTTTTGCGAGCGGAGCTTAATGCTGAGATCGCAAACGCACTTAGCAGGGGACCTAACCTAGAACAATACACACATTCGGCTTCGATAGATTTGTAGCAGGCTGTAAATCGCTTGAGATAAAGTTGAATAAGAAAACCAGCCTTTACAATGTCAGTGCATATACTCAGAATAATACCCAAATAGTTTTGACAAAAAATGCCGTCTTGCACTCTGATTTTGGTTTTGATTTAGTTTCTAGACGTGATATGGCATCTTCGCATTCACTGGTAAGTGTCTTACATCACTACTCACCATTTATGCACGGATATAATATAGCTGACCCACAATGTAATGTGAAAATAAATCATACATCAGTATATCTTTAAACTAATCCTTGAAAGAAGAATGAAAATACTTTAAATGAAAAACAATATGCCCAACGAATATGATCAAATAAAATGTGAAACTCATATTTGCCTGCATCTGTGCAAATACTCGTTTTCATAGATGCTCAATATCTATTTTTCGACTCTTTTTTGTGTGTGTGATTTGGTACATTGCATTTGTTTTTATTTTTGTGTATTTTTTTTTTTGTTTTGTTTACCCTGATTACTGTATTTTAAGTCTATGTAAGGGGGGAGCTCATAGTAAAAAGCTCGATGGTTTCCAAATGAGCCTCTGCACCAGGAAGAATGATTGATATATATATATATATCAAAGGAACACAAAGTTAGTGAAAAATTATTATGCTTTATATTTAGTGAGTAGAGCGTTCATCTTTTGGGAAAAATGAAAATTTGTTTTCATATTCTCAGACCGAACAGAGTGTTTCGTATCTCTAATTTTTGTAACACTTCATTGTAAATTTATCCGGTGGAGGTGACATTTTATTTATTGACAGCATCATTTCACTGTAACCATTCTTCATGGCGTTTCTTCACCACAGTTTCCAGCGAATGCAACTGAACATATAGAGGGAAGGAGCGGTAATGACATCCTTGAGAGGTGAGAATCGTTACTTGATGTCCCAAATTTTTTTTTTATAGATCACTAGTGATCAGAGAAAACTTTTCGATTTGGAAGAAAGGCGCAGGAAGTAAAATTTCAGTTTTAGGTCCATCAATACCGTCATGAGTACAGACTACATTCTAGACAACGTGAAAGAGGTGTACGTTCGGCCTAGTTTGCTGTCGTTTGATCCATTTCTAAAGTAGTAACTAGGTGTAAATTGGGGCATTTTTGTGTATTTGGGTGTAGTTTGGGGTGGTCTGCTATAGTTGGCGCAGTTTGGTGTAAGTTGATATAATTTGGAGTAATTGGTGTAGATCATTGAAGTTTGGTGTAGTTGATGTAGTCTGGTGTAAGTTGACGCGGTTGGCGTAGCTAAGTGAGCTTGATGTAGCTTGATGTTCTTTGCATTTTTGGTATGATTGCTGAAGATAGGTGCAGAGCCTTATAAATGTCTAAAACTATTAAAGGTTAAAATGATTATTAAGCGATTAAATAGCGTTTGTAAGAGAAGTAGTCAGAGGAAAAAAAGAGAAGACGGAATTATGAGAAACAGTATGCGTGTTTCATTTGATTTTTAGTGTTGGTATACTGTCTAATGAAATGAGTGGAACTCCGGAAAGTTTCTCTAACGTGCAGGTAAGCCATGCTTTCCTACAACGAATAAATTACGAAAATCAATCGACATAAATCTATTTTCACTCTTAAGGGTTTCAAGAATTCGATAATTTAGGCTCATTTTACGCTGTGCATCAACAATAAAATGTTAACGCGTGTACCTCAACTCAAACTGAATCAAAAGGCCGATAATCTAGATGTAAAACATGTGGAAGATCAAAAAAAATCTGCTTATTAATGCATAAACATATATTTGTTTTCAAAATCAGGATAGTTTGGGCATCCCACCTGTATTGAGCGAGAGCTCAAGGTAAGTCCATTTGGTAGACAATTATTTATTCCGTAAGAGAAACTTAACGGGTGTAATAATGTACATCAATTTCAAAAATATCAGAATGAAAAGCATGATATCACAGAAAGAGAAATCAGGTTAATATAGATCAAGAGTTTAATTGTGGTTTTTCTTCTCTTTCATCTTTCATGTTCTTTTCTTTCAGAGACAGGGAGATGAAGAAAGAAGTCAACTCACGGACTATAAGAATAAGAGAATGGATACTACATCAGGTGGGTAAGGAAACTGCATGACTTGGTCTTAGGTCCACAAACCTCAAACCTCAAACCCTGGCTGGTAATTATCAATTAGAGAAACAAACAATGATGAGAACAACGTAGTTACAACTGAAATCTCCAATCAGTCCCTAGTTCCTAACACTGCACAAGGTCACCCTCAAGAGGCTAACCAAATAAAGTTCTGTGACAGTCAAGTGATTCTTAGGGACGGACCATTACTTCTCTGGAGGGGGGTATGAGAAATGTTCTTCTGCAAACATTTTTTTCCAACATCATCTTCGTGCAAACATTTTTTTTTTCCATTTCTTTTCCAGTGTTCTTTTTATTTGGGCTAAATGTTGCCATTGCCTTACTGAAATATTTTACGAATGTGTAATGTATGTCAAGAACTACAGCTGCTTGAACCATTTTGTCTATCGTTTTCTGGATTTTATTCGTTTGTGTCGTTCATGAAATTAATTGACTTCTGAAATATGTATTAAGTTGCAATGATAAATATAACCAAGATCGAAGAATATTATTTTTTACATACAGTTTTGAGGAAAATACCTGATATATGAGGTTTTGTAGTAGGACAAAATGTTGACAAGTAACGTTGAGGTTTGATTGCCACAATAAGTTCCCATTTTTTCAAGAAATCTTCAGACAGTCATTTTCCGATTTGTCATTTGCTTAATACAGAGTGACCACATTTTAGTGCTCAAATTGTGTTAATTTTTATACTAATGCTTCAAGTTGTTATGTTATCTTTTTTTAATTTCAGTTTTGGTTATAATATTTTTTAATATCTTACCTGACTTATCTGCAAACATTTTTTTTACCTTATCACGTTTGCAAACAATTTATTTTGTCTTTTCAGACCTTGTAAACAATTTTTCCAATATTTCTTATACCTCCCCTTCCAGAAAAATAATTGTCCGTCCCTTACCACACCATATTTTGAGCTCTAGGAGAGTACTCTGCGTCGGTGGGAGAGTATAACAGGGTAATTTAGTAGTATCGACTGAGTTTAAACTCATTACGGCGGCCAATTTAAGTTATTAACTCAGTTGATAATACTAAATTACTCAGTCTGGAGCAGTCTGGTGTAATTTGGTGTAGTTGGTACATTTTAGTGTGGTTGATGTAGTTTGGTGCTCTTGCTGTTGTTAATGTAGTTCGGTGTAATTTGGTCTAGTTTAGTATAGTTGGTGCAGTAGGATATAGTTTGGTGCAATTGGTGTGCTTGGCATACGTCGATGTGGTTTGGTGCAGTTTGGTGTACTTTGGTGTTGCCTTGTGTAGTCTGGAGCAGTTTGGCACAGTTTGGCACAGTTTGGTGTAATCATGATAGCGGAGCTCGCGGAGCGGAGCCCCATAGTTATACAAAATAGTAGTAACCCATCAAGCCGAGAAAATTTGGATGTACGATCTTACGACCGTACAACCGACCGTACAAGGTGCTACTTTTAGCATGCACGGCTAACTGAACCGCGGGCACTATCTTATAATTAGTCCTCTACACGGACACGGAGAAGTTGCGAATGAAAGTCCATTAATATTACCACGCACTTTATCCATAGTAGGAGCTTTAGTTTTGTTGAAGAGACGTGCGGGAAAAAAAAATGCGAGCTCCGCTTTTAGGCTTGCCTAAATCTATATATTATTTGGTGCAGTAAGTGTGGGCTGTTGTTGCTGCTGTAGTTTGGTGTAGATGGTGTAGTTGACGTGGGTTTGTGCATTTCTGTGCAGTTGGCGTAACTGTTTGTAGTTGGCTTACTTTTGTGCAGTTTGAGTTGGTGTAGTTTATTATTTCGTTGGAGCAATTTAGTGTAGTTTGATGAAGTTTTGTGTAGTTAGTGTGCTTTGGAGAAGTTGGTGTAGCTGGTGTGCTTTGTTATAGTTTGGTGTGGTTGGTGTAGTTTCGTGAAGGTGGTGTAGTTTTTTGTATTTTTATCAATCAATTATGAAAATACGAGACCATGAATTAACAAGCAGAAATATGCGTGATCACTGTTTTACCCTATTCTTACCGTAATAAGATCAAATCTTTAACTACGTTCATGAAGTCCTCGATATAAAATCACTCTCCGGGTAAACGCCAAGAATTAACCCATCCTGTATGCACAAATAAAGCGCAGAACATTTTGGTTTAAGTTATTCACGCTGTCCTCAATTGTTATGACTGCTGCACAGTCATTAAATGTGGGATTATAACGATCACCTTCAGAACGAATGAAAATATTATCATCACAAACGTTCAGTACTTGCTAGCCTAGTATGGGTTTTCTTTTGACGACTAATTAAAGCTGTAATATCTTTGTATAAGATTTCTTTCTTTTATTTCACAGGCAACTGAAGGATAAAAAAAGGAACCGAAGTAATTTAATATGTTTTAGTTTTCTGTAACGGGTTACTATAAGGATTAATAGTAAAAATAAATTTGAGCTGTATATTTTAAATTATTTTAAAGGATAGGCTCTTTCAAATTTTATTTTCTGTCAATGAAAAGAATTTTACCCATATCTTGAGCTATGACAGTGAAAACATCTCATTAAGATGGAATTCTTTACAATCCTTAAATGTTCAATAAAAAACCACTGTTTACCTACATGATTCATCTTTGTAATATGTCAGAATATGCAACATACAAAACGTTCAATTGCGATTATCTTATAGCTTTGGGGTGCTTAAAGAAATGGAAACTCAAGTAGGTCATCGCCTCTAAATATTCATAAAAGTATGTGGTACCCGAACGAACCTCTAGTTGCCATTGATTCATTAGTTCCTCTTCTTTGCGAGCTAAGCCTGCTAAGCCCAGAAAATAGGCCATTTTATAGTTGTGTACTTAGTTGCCAAGCCTTTGATTTGGAGTGAGGCTGAAAGAAACTTCGTTGTGATAGAGACCGGTTTCTAGTTAACACGATATCAAAGTAATTTACATTTGAAAAGCAGCAACGTCGAATGTTCGTTTGATTAAAAGCGATCGTTTCTAAAAAAGTACTCGTTGCTGCAGTAACATTTTCAACATTTTTGTGATGAAATACCACCGACGGTCGAGCAAACATGCAATGCCTCTGCTCACAAGTGAAATAACGAACTCCATCGAAGAATCCATCGTTCCCCCGTGGATGTGGATGGTCTAACTCGATTCCTCTCCACTCACCGCTACTTGGGTTGCTTAGATAACCGATAGACCCGACGGCACCCAATATCCAAAAACATGCACTCTGTGGCCGATGGAAAGTTGATTTTCACCTCTCTCAATTAGGCCGGTCTCAGGAGCTTTGTCGTCGAGTGCAGTCGGTTTTGATTCGAAGTTCGTCTTCTGACTCTGATTTGTCGTCTCGACGACTGTTTGGACCGATTTTGATGTCCACATCCCATTGTCGGCTGAAAGAAACAATGGCCACTGTCGTCGCTTGTTTAGTGTAGCATGAGAGAACGACTGCGCCTCAATAATCTGTTCTTGTGTTCTAATGAAAAAGGGAACGTTGCTAATAGCAACATAATAAGTCGATTGCCATGATCAGTCATGGATGATCACTGAAAGAGCAACAGCAAGGTTAACTAATGTAAATGGCAGCCATAAAGCACAAAAAGCACTAAAAAATCTTCATTTCCTATGTTTCACCTTGTGTCGATATATAAGTACGATGGCCATCGGCAATAATTACAACATCTGCTTCAAACACGAGAAGGCTTAAGTATGCAGGTTATTTCAGCGGGAGTCATCATTATGTATTTTTTTGGCAAAATCAGGATCCGGGTGTTCAGGAGTTTGGGATCACGGATCAAACGTTATTGGAAAATAAACTAAAATTAATAACAGAAAAAATAGAAACAAAGTAATAAATGATAAACGCATCATCGGCAGAAATATTGGACAAGATGGCGGCCGCGCTTGCGCATTTCGTCTGTAATGGCGTCCAAATAATTTAAGAAACTGTATGGAAATTTGTAAAATTTCTTAAATATAACAATCAGGAGCTCATGGTTCCGTCTGCTCTCGATCGAGACATATTCAGTACTGATTCTGCTATTCATCAAACCTCACAGAGACTCGATAAATAAAAACCACTTACTTCCCGAGCCAGTTCTTTTGTCATTGATTATTGACCTAGGTCGCCATACATTTCTTCAAAATCCGTCGTTCTCCATCCCAAACACTCGCCTATTACAGGAAAGTGCATCAATAAAGTCAACTGCTCTCGATCGAGTTGACTGCTACAGAGTTCGAAGCGTCCAAATATCCTGTTAAATTGCCATTTCCTCCCATCAAAAAAGTTCCCAACGCGCCAGAATATCCCCTATTTTCCATGTTGAGTAAGTGACGAGACGCCATGTTGAAAACTATGACTGAAATAGTCAAACACGAGCAACGCTGATCTTCGAATCTTCGGCCATATTTGTTTATGTTCTTGCAGGGAAATAAATTAGTTCTCGGTCCTTTTCGGAATAAAAATTTGCCAGGCATTGAATGCAAATTCAGTAGTCTTAGCGCGAAAATTAAATTAAAGCAAATCAAAATTCTGACATCATGTCATCGCTCTGCCTCGAAAAATCCCAAAGATTTACTTGCAGGTCTTCTTTTCTTTTTCTTTTCATCAAATAGAAGATCTGCGGTGCTCAAATTGTATAAGTCATGGTACGAAACACTCTTCTTTGCAGATCGAGCCGTGATCGCCG